CCCCTCTCTATTAGGTCAATGAAATTTCTTTCCAGAAGGGCTCCTTCCTCACCAGCTATCAGTCTGTTCTCTTTTGACAAGCCAAGCTGCTATGCCCAATGTTAATTATTTCAATTTTTTTTTCAATTTGGCAAAATAGATAGGCCAAAATTTTTAGCAATGGAATTCCAGAGTAAGATAGGTGACAAAGAGTAAAAATCAAATAAGTGGAATGATTAAAAAAAAAAACCCAAAACTATCTTAATGTAGTGTTTGTCAGAGTCAATGATTTCTCTACAGTTAATCATACTCATTTTTTGCCTTATTGACCTGCCCTGAAGGAACCAGGTTTCTAAGCCTTTAAGCACTCAGATTAACTAGCCACCCAAGTACCCCCACTGGGCTCAACAGGCCAGCTCACACACGGAAAGCTAACCACACACTGTAATGTTGGCAAGATCTTTCCGACTCCACTAAAATTACTTAGTCTTTCCCTCTTTGCTCCAATTTCCCCTGCGGTGATGGAGAGCATTGCTGTGTTTCTTCCCTCCATTATTAATACAATAGTCTTTCTATTTCATGTAATCCATAAAAAGTGGGGGCAAAGCAAAACTCCAAGGCAAATGTCTCTTCTGATTATGTTTCCCATGTGCCATTACAGCTGCTCATAATGCAGTGCAATTTGCTCAAACAAACCGTCGCAATCACATTCCTGAAATTCATAAACATGCAATACTTTATCTCAGAGAGGCCACTGGTGGTTACTAGCAAGTGTCCTCTCAAACATGCATATTTAATTATGTTTACTCTTTAACTACGGGGGATGTCATATAGCATAGTCTGAAAAATAAAGAAAGCTTGAAATGTCATGTACCAGGTGAAAATATCCCATCGCCACAGCCCCCTGGCCAGCCAACCATCTCTCTCATTTTCCTTAGTGTGACATATTCCAAAAGTACAAACACTGGAGCAATTTCATAGGTGAACCTGAAATGTAGTAATGTCCATATTTAATGCTTTCATCTACAACACTAACACATCTTTTTCCAATATTACAATACATTATAGCCACAATAAACTCTATCTTGCACTGGGTAGAGTTCTGTTTTACAATACTTTTGATAATCTTCCTTCTGATTTGACATCAAATGTCCAGAAGGAGAAATGCCAAGAGTGCTTGAGACTCCATTTCCACCTATTTCAGTGGAACAAATCTTGCCCACCTCTTCCAGGCTCAAGGCTTTGCCCTATTGCTGGGCAGAGCCAGACCTTCGCCTTGCAAAAACCTGGGCGCATGTCTAGAAGCATACACGTCAGCAGTCCTATTCATGATGACAAGACAGCACATGAAGCTAAGCAAGCGAACAAAAATGCTTCCTAGTCTCAAAGTGAAAAAAACCCCTACACTTTAAATTCTGCATCTCTTTCTTACAGAAAGCAATGGCTCTAACTGCTCTGAGGTTATGGATTGTACATAACCCCTCTACATTAATGTAACTGTTCACTTAGGACACCTTTCATTTTACATATTTATGCATTCAAAATGCTAAAATATTTTTTTCTGTATATTTTTTGGGGGGGTAGCAAAACAAACATCATATTAGTATGATGAAATTTTATAGAAGACAGCCTACAGTACAATGTTGAAAGTATTCATGTAAATAGCTGTAGCAACCATTTAAAAAGCAGACAATTGTTTTTCCAGCAACCTTAACATAGAAGTATTCTTTCTTTCATTCATCTACAGCAGCTAGTATGTTAGAGTATAACTGTAACGTTATATTAAATATTATTATGGGAAAAAATGTGCTACTTACATATTAGTATTTGCTGCTGATGTCAGCCAGTCTGCTGCCAATCCAACCATGTCCAATCCAGTTGAAAGTTGATTAAAATATCTAGGGTGCCCTGCATAAGATGGAAAATGTTATCAAAAAGCTGATGACTCTGAATGGAACTATTCAGTGCTGTACAGTATATTTACCTTCGGATTTCTGTAGGGAAGGAAGTGCTTTCAAGGTATGAAACAAAGCAAACAGCAATAAATACATTTCTTGGAAAAGGCAGGATTCCTCTTCTTTCTCATTCCAAACTCAGTAAAATCAGAGTAATTACACTGAATGCAGAATAATGAATTCCAACATTCCCTATTATTCTTTCAATACGCCTTGAAAATTAGCACATCGCTGCCTCACAAAAATAGCTGTTTGCTCCCGTTAGTGTGTCACATGTTGTCACTGGATGTGTTTTTGCCTGGCTAGGTTTGAAAGGCATGCACGAGACACCATCTGAAGAGCTCGCCAGTACGTATAACATCAGTGATGAATGGCTAATGATTATAATAGACAGGGCGAGATGAGAAAATGGAACATTTTGGTGACTGCCTTGCACATGACTCAATGTCTGATGATCGTACGAAGATGGCAGGGAAGGTGGCGGTCCTTGTCATTTCTTCCCTGTCAGAGTGCAATTACAAATAGCCTGGCTGCTTGCAATTGTGATTTTAAACAAACCCCACGAAAACCAGCACCGCTGCCCCAGCAGAATCATGCACAAGAATATACTCAATGAGCTGATAGTCTATTTACCTGGTTAATTTAATTGGCTCCTGCTTTTTTTCTAAAATCCTGCTACAGATTTTTCTTAAAACGTGCCTAGAGCCATTAAACCCAGGAACCATTAAAACTCCTTTTTTACTAGCTGCTCCCTGCATGCACCTGTTAAGTGGCATAATTACCAGTACAAATTACGGATGGTTCACAATTACTTAAATGCCATCCTACTCAAAGCAAGACAGTCTCTGCTTGGAAAACGCCTGTCCTGACCCACAGACGACGCACTCTTACTGCCACCACAGACAACAAAAGACAGAGCAAGGTGACTGAGGAAATGCAAACCCAGCACCAAAAGAAAAACTTATCTTTGGTCTCCGGTGGCCTCTTATCAGGCGCGGACACATGGCTGGCAGAGCAGCACGGGGAATTGCTCCCCAGCTCCCACCTCGCGGCACACAAAGGCAGAGACACAGGGCTGCGCGGGCAGACCAGAGCGGGGGATGCGGCCGGAGGGGGGGGCACACACGCAACATCCAGCTCCCTGTGCCCTTAGTCTGAGACGAGCCCCATGCTGCTGCCGTCCAGACTGACTGTGTTTTGCACCGAGCCCTCCCCACCGGAGGTAGGAACTGCCCTTTCCCCTGGTCCACGCTGCCTAGGACAGGCGGCCAAAGTCCCTCAGGCACAGAGGGACACTGCTGAGATCCAGCAGGATGAACAGGATCCGGCCCCCGTCCCGCACGCTCTCAAGTCGGGTAGGTGGGCCTGGGGCTCACGTGTACCCCGCCACCATGCCAAAGCCACGGCGATGCTGCGCCAGGGGCTGGGCCTGCAGAGGACTGCATCTTCCCCGACGATGGGATTCTGAGCGAGGTTTCAGTATTTATCATTCGGGTTCAATCCCACAGCCAGGCTCCGAGTGGGCTCCCAAATTCCACCAGAAAGCAACAGAAAATTAGGAGCTGAAAGCCTTTGGTGAACCGGGCCACAGGAAGGCTCAAAGAGGCCAGAAAAACTCCTGCTTTGGAAATAAATCCACACTGAAAAGCTGGGGAATAGTAGAACTCATATTTGCAGACGCAGTGTCTCGGCCGCTCTCCGTCAGCCCCCATACCCAGCCCCAGGCGACAGCCCTGCTGTCACTGCTTGTTTCTTCAAGGAAACCTCACAGCACACCTCCCGCCTTGGGAACCGCCGAAGGAACAGGGCCGGCTGCACGCAGGGGTTGGGGCGAGCGAGGTGGGGGGGAACAGTGCTGTGCTCCCACAGAGACCCTAGTACAGGGAGAGCAGGAGCGGCCGCCGCTGGCATGGCTGCTAGCGGAGCCCCAGCACCTACACCTGTAACACAGCCCCTTCGCTCAGCGCCCTTCCCATCTGCAATGTGGCTTTAACAGGCCACGGCAGAGAACGTAATGCCCCAATCTGACCCCAACCTCAGCTGCAAGGGTTTGCCTGTCCATGTGACACCCTAATTTGTGAGCGAGCTCTCTTCCTTGGGCTAGATGGCCACGGAAAATTGTGTCTTTGTTTAAAATACCAGCTCCACCGGCCAGGTAAGAAGAGTTTGTGAGAGATGTTCAAAAATCACTACCCGGGTGCCATCCGCCTGAAAGGCACATCCTTTGTTGTGGTTGTCACCAAACAAAGAGGTGACTGGAAAAGAGACTGACAGGGTGAGAGCAAGGGAGGGAGATGTGAAAATAGGGGATTACTGCTGACCCGTTGGTTTAGCAGTACACATCGTATTTACACATATCCCAGAGTAAACTGGGAGATGATGGGCAAGAACCAGGGCTGAGGCGCTGGGACAGCTGGGGCCAGGCTTTCCCTGCTGAGGACGTGCCTTTGCTCCACACACCCTGCTCTCAAACATGCCTGCACTTGGCCGCAGGCACAGACATCCACGAGCACGCAGCCTCCACAGCCTCGACAGGGAAGCGACAAGAAGGGCCAGGCAAAGCCGGACAGCATGGATACAGGCACGGCCGGCGGCCCTGGGTTTGGCCTTGCTCACAGCCCCATGGCGCACACGGCCTGCTACCAGCATCAGAGCCTGCCAGGACCAAGGGACGAGCGTCAGCTCCTCGCACCCTTCCTGGGGTTTCCAAGCCATTTTTAAATGCTTGCATTTCAATTCCCCCAGTGAGCATTGCACAGGAACAGAATTTGGCATCCATCTTGCAAACGCTGCCTTTTATATTCTCTCAGACAAAATTCTGGCTGGGGGTGGATGCCGGTAGCTGGCAAAGGGGCAGGGAGCCATGTGTGGCTTTCCCTGGGCACCCCTGCCAGCCACAGCATGCAGGCAACACCTGGGAGCATCCCACACCTGCCCCTTGGCCAAAAAATCAGCCATCCGGCTCCGTGAATTCCAACCGGGGATCAGTGCTGGGACTTGGGGATCCAGCTGTGAGGCTAATCTGAGCAATACAATTTATTTTCCAATCAGCCTCCCGGGCCCCTGCAGCCAAACACAGCCCAGGAGGGGCCGTGTCCAAAGGGCTCCTGCAGCAGGAGCGGAGGCAGACCCCCACCGCCTGAAGCCTCACAGCCTTGCCTTTCTCTGGGGGCAATTCAAGCGTTTTACTCTGAAGCACATGCCGAAGGGCTCAGGGTGTAAATCCCATGCCTTTCACGAGCTGCCCTCCAGGATGCTGAGGAGCGGCAGCGGCCAAGCCAGGAGGCTCTGCATCCCCTGGCCAAACCCCGCCACATCTCAGCCCCCCAGCACCAGTCCTCGGACCTTGAAAAGGTTATTTTCCTTAAAACAAATAGAAAAACGCCAAGAAGGGAAAGCCTCACCTATCTACGGGAAGGAAGAGAAACGGTAAAGTTGTTTTAAAGGGTCTTTTTTTGATGCACAAAATAAAACAGGTCCATTATGTGAAGCAGGCAGGCTATAACAACAAAGATTAACGAAAATTGGTTAGAAAACCTGATTCTTTGATTTCCCAGATTCACAGATCCTGTGTTTTACAGCATTCTGTGAAAATATATTTCTTATGCCCTACCCAGACACATCACATGGATCACTGGACTGATCGACTTTGCTCCTGTGGACATCATTTATCTAACTATTTATTCCAATATTTTACAGGCGTTTTGACAGCACCCGACTCATGCATCAAAACCATTCAGCTGGACATTTCCACCTCTAAACGAGAAGGATTACACAGATCCCCCACAGCCTTTATTGGGATCAGCCTGTTCTGTTCCCAAAAGGCGACAAAACCTGTTTTTTTGTCTTCCCCTCAACCTCTATTCACAAATCAGCCTTTTGTTTCTCTCAGTAATTACTACACATCTATTTTTAAGCAATTCCTCCGTAATTCAAATTCCCACTAAGAGCTCCCATTATTTCCCCATCACAGTCGTAATCGCAGCCAGGCTCTTCCTGTGCTCCGCCGCAGTTTATTTAAGGTGGCCCCGGGTGCGGAGCCAGGGTCTTCCCCACGCCTGGGTGAGCCCCACGCTGCCCCCCCCTGCCACGAAGACCACATGGGGGCACGACTAACCCTCAGACAGCCAGGAGTCAACCCATCCCTACCCCCCCCAGTGAAAAACAACAACGACAAAAGGCTGTTAAAACAACTCCGGCTTTGCTTTTATTGCTTGAGCCTCAAGTCGAAAAAAAACCACCAACCCTCAATACTCCTGTGCACGGTTCTGACAAATTCTCCTATTTTTATGTCCTGCAGGGAAGGGGAGAGATACGGCAAATGGCCGCTCAGAGCTGCCGTTTACAGGATATTTATTGCGATTTTGGCTGATAAATGGGCTGGTCCCTGCCGCCCTCCCTGCCCTCGGTCTGCCGTGGAGCGACCCCCGGCCCGCACACCTGAAATAGAAGAAAGGTGCAAAGGTGCTGGAAAAGCAGCTCAGGAGCACACTCGGCAACTCCGCTGCACAGGAGCATTAATTTTAAATCGGAAAGGGTGTGCGAGGCTGCGCTGACAATGACGCGGGGCTGCCGGAGTATTATATCATTTAGGAGAACGATTTCTGTCTCCTCTAGAAATGGCTTGGAAGTGACAAAATACAGTTGCTGCTTCAATCTGTAACGTTTCAAGATAAAATGAAATAACACCTTTAATCAATGGACGAGACTATACAGGGTAGAAAATGAGCACGGCTATTACCTGTTTTAATTGCATACTTCAGAGTCGTTCTGCAGTTCAATAAAATTTCTTCCAAGGTCTGTGGCTGGTCTGCCAGTTCCCAGTTATATTCCTGGAGCAGCTCATTTGGGTAATGGAAATCAATAACTTTTGTCGATCTATCAAAACTTTTCACCACATACTGAAGTAAAATGTCCACAACGTCTTGTAGGAAAGACATAGTTGTTATTTCTCCATTGCATGCCGGCAGAAGATCTGGGAACGGAGAAAGGAAAAGTTAACTTCGTTTTACGACCATATACGCAGATTTTGGACTAAGCGTTCTCCCATTTACGTTTAGGAAATCTTTTAATTTGTGGTCAATGCAAATGTACTTTGTTTTCATTTAATAAGCAAATTGGTAAGACTGTATTTTAAGGAGTGTTCTGAGAGAGAATGGTTACGTTTTAATATCCTAGTTAAAATAGCAAATTTTGCCCACAGTGTACTGCAGACCAATTTTTAAGACAGTGAGAGCAAGCAGGGAAACAAGAAATGAGGGAAAACGAAATCCCAGGAAAAATAAAGACTAGGAAACAAATGCTACAAGAAGCGCTCCAAAAACTGCCATTCGCCTGGCAATGAAATACCTTTCTTGTGCCTCTCCAATGCAAGTAACTTGTTGATAACGTAATGCCTGTTTCTGAGGCGATGCTGCACGGTCTCTCGGTGCACACACCGACATCTTTTGTTTAAGTGCGAGGGCTCAGGCAGAGCCGGGCTGCGGAGGAACCCCCCAGCCCGGGGCAGCGCGGGGGCGGTCAGCCAG